ATGTCACTGAACTGTGCATGTAGAAATTTTTGAAATGGTGTATACTTTGGCTATGTATATTTTCACAAAAAAAAAAAGGTCCTCCAAGGCCGAGAAGGGAGTGTGTTGACATGTCGTGGGATTGTTAACCAATGTTATAAAACAATATGTGTACCGACTGTTTAATGAGAAAATATTTGTTCTGTAAACCTTCACCTAAAGTACAATAAAGAAAAATTAAAAAAATAATGAATATAACTGAAGACTGTGGATAGGATTGCAGAAAAATGATGTTCTATTCAGATTTTGGGTTGCATGTAGATGTAGTTGTTCTTTAAACATCCGAAATCCCATATTTACAGAGCAAACTCTAGACTGAGGATATCAAATAACAGCATGTATTCCACTACTTCCAGACTCGTGACTTTGGCAGGCATCACCAATCAATCATAACACTCTTAGCTTTTGAATTCAGACCCCTTTCTCGAGATAGTGGTGCTGGCAACCACTACTAACAGATGAGAGTTAGCCCAAGAGTTGAAATAATTTGCTATTCTGGTTGGACATACTCACTCAGAACATCTGGTTTCCATAACTGCCCCAGGATCTGACACTCAGCAGGTTTCCACATGGCTGCCCTGACCCCCTTACCTGGGAGTGCAGCAGCTGCACCCAGTCACTGGTCTCAATCAGCTCCTGCTCGGCCAGTTTCCGAGACTGCTCTGTCTGCTCCACCACGGCCCGCAGCTCCTCCAGCTCAGCCTGCAGCAAGGTGTTGCACCGCTCCACAATGGCAATGTTCTCCTTTAGGTCATCATTGGCACAGACTGCGTCATCTAGCTGGATCTGGGTGTCCTGCCAGGGAAAGGGCCACGAGGAGAGGCCCAGACCCCACCCCATCAGGGCCTCTCACCCCTCCCACTTCTGGGTCCAATGCATCCCATCCCACATTCACAAATCTTTTATCACTTAGACAGTAAAGAAGCACATTTCCTCATCTGCTCCTCAGGCGTGGAGGCTGGACGGTCCAGGATATACTTCAAGGCCTGATTAGCTTTCCATTCCTCCAACCTCCAAGTCCAGGAGGTAGGTGGCTTCTACTTCCTTATGTTCATTAGCCCAAGACCCCTTCCTGGGTCTTCACCATTCCTCTTTACACCCCTACTCACTCTCAGACTCACCCCTTCATGAGGGACCTAACTTCTGTTACCTTCAGATGGGCTTGGGAGATCTTCAGGGAGATCTTCAGGGACTCCTAGGCTGTCCTGTTGGCCTGGCTGAGCTGGATCTCCATCTCATTGAGGTCGCCCTCCATCTTCTTCTTCACCCGCAGGGCCTCATTGCAGCTGCGTGTCTCTGCATCCAGGGAGGTCTGCAGCGAGTCCACCACACGCAGGTGGTTGCGCTTGGCCAGTTCCATCTCCTCATCCTTCTCGGTCAGCTTCCTCTCAACCTCTGCCTTCATCTGGTTGAACTCCAGTTGGGCCCGGAGAATCTTGCCCTCCTCATGCTCCAGGGAGGCCTAGTGGGGGGTGGGGAGAGAAGGCCCAAGGCAGACAGTCAGGACCCAGGGGCAGGATGGGGGAGGGAGACAGAGAGGAGGTAGGTATCAGCCAGGACTACAGCCTGGAGAATAAAACTGGGAAGAGACTGGGAGGTGGGACTGGCATTCCCAGGTCCTGGAGGGTGTTGCAGGGAAGGGAGTGTTGGGCTTCCTGGGCTTCCTGACTCATTGGGCTTCCTCTGTTAAGGAAAGAGTTTGGACTTCACAATTGCCAAGACCCTCCAGCGCTAACACTGCATGAATGCCTGACCCATATCATAGAAAAGGGAGGATTTTATAACCACAAATTCAAAATTTTATCTTTGTTCCTTAGGTACCTCACCCTTGAGTGGGAAAAGTTGAAGTCCAAAAGCTCAGGGCTTTTCCCAGGTTCTTAAATTTGAATAATAATAATAGCTGAAATAGATTAAGTTATTAAATGTGTTACCTTATTTAATCTTCATAAAAATCATGCATAAAATTTTATGAGGTCCATACAATTAACTCCACTTTACAGATGAGAAAACTGAAGCACTGAGAGGTTAAGAACCTTGCCAACAATACAGCGCAGGCCCTCAAGCCCAGTTTCAGACTCAGGCCTGTTTGACTCTGGAGCCTATGCTCCTAACTACTGTCTGAGTGGTTATTATGATTGCCAGATTTAAAATTTTTAAAAACCAGGTGGGAAACAAAACCTTATGGCCTACGATCAGACTATGATGTTTTCCTCTGTGCAGACTGTAGCTTTGGAGGTAGTCATGGGTAGTGGAAACCACAGGGCCCCATCCCTACAGGGTTACTTTGTGACTTTGTGGATGGGAGCCTTTGGGGGAGGAGGAGAGAGGTACAGAGCAGTGATAAGAGGCTTCAGAGGGTGAGAATGCCTGGGACTAAGGATAAGGAGCTAACAGATTTTGTCTTGGGGTCAGGATCACCCCCAAAGAGGGAGAGGCAGGGAGTCAGAGCAGGGGTGGGGAGAGGACCCAAGGCAGGGGATATAGGCAGAGTCAGGCCCTCACCCCAGCCTCCTTCAGGGCTGACTGCAGCTCCAGCTTCTCCGCCTCCACCTGCTTACGGACCTTCTCCAATTCATGTACATTCTTTCCTCCTTCTCCCAGCTGCTCAGCCAGGTCTGAGATCTCCTCTGGGGGTCAGAGGTTCAGAAAGTTCAAAGCCTGTGTCTCCCTGCTCCAACACAGGCCTCCCTGCCACAGGCCCCTTCCCAGCCTCTCTGGCCTGCAACGCACCCTGGAGGTTCTTGTTCTCCCGCTTGAAGGTCTCCAGGTGCTCCAGGGACTCCTCATAGGCGTTCTTGAGCTTGAAGAGCTCTGTGCTGAGGGAGCGCGCCTCCTTCTGTGAGGACTCCAGCTCCGACTGTGACTCCTCGTACTTCTGCTTCCACTCGGCCAAGATCTGCCCAGGGAAGGCGCTCACTGCGCTGTTCCCCAGCCCCCAACCCAACCGACCCGCAGCCCCCCACCTCCAGGTCCCTCACCCGGGCCCAGCCCAAATCACCCTTCCCTGTGCTCTGGCTCCTCCCACCTCTAAGGAGGATATCTCTGGCCTCATGCTGACCTGATTCCCTCCCCTGGCCTCCACCCTGGCTGCCAGGGCCCTGCCCAGGGGGCCCACCTTGTCGAAGTTCCTCTGCTTCTTATCCAGGGCTGCAGCGGCGGCATTGGAGCGCTCCACGTCCACCATCAGGTCCTCGATCTCATTCTGCAGCCGGTGCTTGGTTTTCTCCAGTGACGAGCACTTGGCGTTGACAGCCTCCACAGCCTCCTCAGCATCCTGCAGCCGCTGGGCCAGCTTCTTCCTGCCCGGGGAGAGAGGTATTTGTGTGTGACTCTACCTGGAAACAGTGGGGCCTTGGGATGACTCCATGGAACCGTCAGAAAAGGAGGACCTGCCCCCTTCCCACAGCTCCTTGGGACACTGACAGCCATTCAGGCCCTGGAACCCCAGCCTAGAGGGAACCAAGGTTGCAGGTACCTAGGACAGAGTCCACCAGGATGGGCTGCCCAGGCTGCCTCCCTACATGCCACACCAGGCTGATCGATGGTAGCTCCTCTGACCAACAAGCTTTTTGCTCGTCTTATACGTGAGCATCAGGTATAACCCGGGCCAAAAGCTCGCCTGTCACAGGAAGTGGGTCAGGGCCAACCCGGGTTCACAAAAGCACAGGATCCAGGCTCCTTTTCAAGCACCTCTATTGACCCTCTATTGCCCCACCAAGTTTCCCTCAGGTCTTAATGGGCCCCCTGGCTCTCCCACCTCAAACTTCCTTCCCATGAGCGCTCTGCCTGTCTCCAACCCTTTCCCTCTCCTTCCTCCAAGAAAATTAGGGTGGGGGCAATGCAGAGCTCACTTGGCCTCCTCGAGTTCCTCGGTCCTCTGGATGGCATCCGTCTCGTACTTGGTCCTCCACTGGGCCACCTCTGAGTTGGCCTTGGACAGCACACGCTGCAGCTCGGCCTTGGCCTCCGTTTCCTCCTCGTATTGCTCCCGCAGCAGGTCACAGTCGTGCCGGGCTGACTGCAGTGCATGGGCCAGGGCGTTCTTCACCTGGGGAGAGGTGGGCACTCAGAGGTTGGCTCAGCCTCCCAGGAGGTGCCCTTCATTTCCTTAGTTTTTCTCATATCTTTGAAATTCAACCAAGCCCCAGCCTCATTCAGGGTAAGGGCTGGTGTGGAATCTCGAAGTCTTTGAGTAGCCTCCTAATATGTCCATCCCACCCCTTTACA